TCTCTGCATGGTGAAATTGTTCTTCGTATTGATGGAGAATGTGTTGTATACAGCTCTATATAGAACCTTTTGGAAAATGGTTCTATATAGCACCAAAAAGGGTTCTTCTAATGTTACAAGCTTGACATTGTAACGATAGCTCAACCATATACAACACATTCTCCATCAATCTGAAGAACCATGTAAGCATGAAAATGGTTTTATTGCGTGTTGATGGTTCTACACAACATCACTGTCCTTACTAAAGAACACTGAAAGAACCATCTTTTTTAAGAGTGCAGGAGAGCGAGCTCCTGAAGTAGAACTACACAGATCCTGAACTGAACTCACTTTTTCGGAAACATCTTGGTTCTGATTTAGTCCTGAAAGCAGTGTTAGAAACTGGGGTGGAGGAAACTCTGGACTGTGGAATATTAATGTAAACAACAACAGTATTAACCCCACATTACGACAGAGCTGTTCACGGTGGTGGTGATAGGAACCAGACGTCCACCTCTAAAAGCTCCCTCACAGAAAGTTCCTACATGAAATGGTTATGAATTCACTGCCTGATGACTGAGACACTGTTTTATGATAGTTTAGAGAACTTAAACTCCATTCATGGTGGAGGGATACATGCAGGGCGCTGTGAGGCAAAATAGTCCCCAAAGAAAACTTATTATTTCAGATTTTCCACTGTTTCCCATCATCAACATTCCATATAGACTCAGAAGACTCGTGTAGGTTCACTGGTGGTTCTGGATAGTAAATAAAATGTCTATATCTGTGTTGTAGTCATGGCGACGCCTGGATCCTATCACCACCACTTAAGTTTCTCTACAATGTTTTCAGATTTGCATATGTATGTTTGCAGTGCTCTCAGTTTATTTTCTGAATGGAGCTCAGAGTGTATGAGATGTATATTATGACTGTGTACATTTCCTGAAACACTTTATCTAAATGTTTATTTGTTTTTATGTGTTTTTAGGTGTGTTTAAAGGAGCAATATGTAAGATGACACCTGTCGAATTCATACTCGACACACTCCTCCACCTGTTTACTTACCAGTCTAGGAGAAATGCTGCGAGTTCAGTATCAAACCATTCATTTGCTAAGGGCTCCAGCAGTGGAAAGCAGCGCTAATGCTAACTCTCTTCCTTTCTATGTTTGACTGAAGGCAGACTCAACGCTACAATGGCTCACTATCGCCTCCTGAGGTACAAAGTGGTACTGCAAGACACGACAGGCCGAGGGCTAGCTGGTTAGCATGCTAACTTCAGTAGATATCTCTGCAACACGATATGTAGACATCTTTGACACAACTTCAAAACTGTTATTTCTTCACATTCTGTTAATGATTTTAATTTTGGAAATCTTACAAATTGCTCCTTCCATGTCCTGCAATCTGATCCCAAACCGAAAGCACTTGTCCTTGACTGTGAGTCACAGTCTGCTACTGAGATTAGCTTTAGCCTTTCATTAGTTTCACCTTTAATACTGAGCTTTTATGGGGACACTGTTGAAATAAAGTGCTTTATTAAACATTATTGTCTATGCTGGATCAACTTAACAGTAACTTTACAGGAACATTTGAAAATCTACCCAGGATCAACACGGGTGATGCTGGAATGAGGTGATCCAGGGTCAGGATTGTGATGATGGTCCTGAAACTGTGCGAGTAGCTCTATCCAGGATCTCTATGGCTAAGATGGTTCAGGAACAACATTAGCAAGTCTATCCAGGACCAACATAGAGGACGAGTTGGAGGAGTAGGAGGAGTTGAGAATTTGAGCTGCTCTATGTAAGCTTTGGGGATTTGGGGACCTCTCTGGTGGAAATGCGTGATTGCATGCAATGTGCAGACGAACACTTTGTAGCATCGGTTGTGTTCTAGACTCCTTCCCCGAGCAGAGGAACCTGCTGATTGAAAGAGAACTCAAAGAGAACTCAGTCTAAACTTGGTGAAGGAGCGTCTCTGAGGATGAGAGTGAATCATCTACTATTGCCATCAGATCTTCATCAGTGTGATGTTGATTCTGAGGTCATTTGAGGCCGAAACATCGAGCTGGACCTCCTTTTAGAGTCGGTATGTGACATTGATACGTAAAGACTTACGACGTGGCGTCCTGAAAAAAATGTGAACATGTATCCAAAAAGCACCTTTCTGAAAATGGTTCTATGTAGCACCAAAATGTTCTTCTTTTGTATCGATCTTGACATTGTAAGAATAGAAGAACCCTTTTTGGTGCTACGTAGAACCTTAACACATTCTCCAACAATCTGAAGAACTATTTCACCATGTAAAGAATCCTTTAATGATGTAAAGGGTTCTTTGAATGTTCATGACTCTGTATAGAACCATTTTTTGACTAAAGAACCCTTGAAGAGCGTGAATGAATAGACTAGTTTATGACAGTTAGATCTGCCAAACAGTGCTGATGATTCAGTCATCTGTGTTTATTTAATTAATCTCATTACAGCCGAATAAAGAGAATAACACTCTGTGTAGTTACACTGCAGAATGGAGACGACTCGGATTTAGACATTCAGCTCTTAAGGGAGCTCATATTAAAATGCTCTGGGGCTTAAAGGAGAGAGAGAGAGAGAGAGAGAGAGAGAGAATGTAAGTAAGCCCAGCTGGAGCTGATACCCTCAGATGGCAACATCTCAACACACACCTGCTCAAACACCCAGACTTTAATGAGGAACTGACTCTAAATGTAGGTATTGTGATATAAACTGAGTCTGTTCTACAGTTTCTCATTAGGCTGAATGAATAACTGACTCTAAATGTAGGTATTGTGATATAAACTCAGTCTGTTCTACAGTTTCTCATTAGGCTGAATGAATAACCGACTCTAAATGTAGGTATTGTGATATAAACTGAGTCTGTTCTACAGTTTCTCATTAGGCTGAATGAATAACCGACTCTAAATGTAGGTATTGTGATATAAACCGAGTCTGTTCTACAGTTTCTCATCAGGCTGAATGGATAGTGAATGACTCACTCACTACTCCACACGTTCCACCCACTCCACTGCTGTTCAGCTTGACTCCTCAGGTCTACAGAGGTCATCAAAACTCATGTTCCTCCTGAGAAGCTGTTCTGGTCTGGGCTCTGCCTCAACTGTAGAGGCTCAGGCCGTATGTGCACTAGTTGTGAAGACTCTACTCCTGCGATGAGACTTCATTAAGAGTGTGCACCTTCTGGTTCTGCTTCATGCTCCTCTATCCACACAGTTCAGCTCTAATGTTCAGATTAAATTGACTCTGACTCTTAGAATCCTCAACCTGGAGAAGCGACCGCTCGCCTCGATCCTGATCGTCTTCTATTGTTATAGTTGTTCCAGACCAATAATGATGACAACACCAACTGACCCAAAATCTCAGTATTTTTGCTTTTCTTTTGAAGAGAAATTCCACCAATGTTCTGATACAGGGTGGTTCAGAGTGGTTTGGTGTGAAATGGTTCAGATGTCTTTACAGTGGTGGTGATAGGAACCAGGGGTCAAAGTTTCAGTCTATTGCGAATTGGAATAGAAATGTAAAATTTGTTTGCTGGGTGTGTGAGTATATTGCCTGAAAACCATATATGACTTAAATATATCGCTGTTGTCAGAACAAAACCTCGTATCTCCAAAATGGTAACTTTACAGTAGAAGGAAAAAACCTACGTTACTTTTAATGTAATCAATGGAACCAGACTTTTTTCTAAGTCATTTTGGGTCGTTTTCTTTTAGTCCATTCATTGTGAAATTTACACACAATGTAAAGAACAACAGGCATTTTTTAAATTACGTCAAAAACTGAAAAACATCATAAATGAACATTTTCTTTCTGCCCTTTTGAAAAAGTAGGGCTGCAATACTCATCCACTGCCAACAGAGGGCGGCACTGCACCAGACAAGAACCTACTGTAATCTGATGATACAGTTCAGTGCAGTGTTAAAGGATGAGGGGCTGGTTGACTCGTCTCACGAGAGGAATAGAGGAGAAAAACACAATAAAACAATAACAAAATCACAAATAAAACATCAGTTATATAAAGAAATGAACACTGTTTTTTGGCCGTATCTGTAAAAATAGATCAGTGTTTTCCAGTCCAGTGTCCAGCTGCTCCAAACATAGGCTAGTTGTGCCGTAAGTGTTTACCAAGTTCAGGTTTATCACCTCTAAATCAGAACAAGCTGCACCACAAACCAGTTTAAATGTTGAGTTTAGTAGTCACTGAATATTTACACCCCCAGCTGGACTGGGTTGCGCCAGGTTTGTGTAAGTCTGTATTTAAGTTTTGGAATAAAGTCTTTCCTGAGTCCTCAGTTACACTCGTTAGTTTAAACTGTCCTTTTACTAAATCTGGTTGCACCACAGATCTGTAAGTCGTGTCTGAACTAGAACCAACTAACTAATGCAGCCATGGAAACACAGCGGCAGCTGCTCTGACTGAATATCCAGTCTAGAAGAGAACGATGTGTCCAGGTTAACCTGAATAGACTGATGATCTACAGCCGCTGACCGTCTATTCTTTAATATTTCACTGAGAAACCAAATACGCAGCTTTTTAAACGCCGGTTTCTGGATAACCGACACAACAGCAGCCTCAGTGTAGCCGACTGGGCTGCTGAGTCTCTGAGCTGGAGCTGTGGGCCTTCAGCTTCATGAGTCTAAACCAGGCTGACGATTAGAGCTACAGATACAGAGTTTAGAGTTTTAGCTTAGTTAAAAAAGTTTAAAAAGTCATGTTTTTGGTCTGTTTGTGTTTCTAACGGTTTCCCCAAAACTCACACCGGCTAAGGGGGTGTAAATATTTAGTAACTACTAAACTCGGCGTTAAACTAGTTTGTGGTGCAGCTTGTTCTGATTTACGCACAGCTGGTGCAGCTGACCACTGGTGTACGTTTTGGGGAAAGCCTCAGAAACACATTGGCTACTAATCTAGAAACGCTGCACGCTGTGATTTTCCTCACAGCTCTAATCGTCGCCCTGGTTTAAACTCTGAGCTCGAAGCTGAACAGTTTAAC